TACTGGTAACAAAGGGCATTACTACTAGTAGCAAGAAGCTACTAGTAACAACTTCTTGCTACTAGTAACAACAGGCATTACTACTAGTACCAAGAAGCTACTAGTAACAGAGGCATTACAAATAGTAGCAAGAAGCTACTAGTAACAAAGGGCATTACTACTAGTAGCAAGAAAATACTAGTAACAAAGGCATTACTACTAGCAGCAAGAAGTCACTGGTAACAAAGGGCTTTACTACTAGTAGCAAAAAGTTACTAGTAACAAAGGGCAATAGTAATAGTACTAGTAGCAAGAAGCTACTAGCGAAAAAGGGCATTGCTACTAGTAGGAAGAAGCTACCAGTAACAAAGGGCAGTTCAGTACTACTAGTAGCAAGAAGGTACTAGCAAAGGGCATTACAACCAGTAGCAAGAAGCTACTAGTAGCAAAGGGCGTTACTACTAGTAGCACGAAGCTACTAGTAGCAAAAAGCTACTAGTAACAAAAGCATTACTACTAGTAGCAAGAAGCTACTATTAGCAAAGGGAATTATTACTAGTCGCAAGAAGCTACTAGTAGCAAAGGGCATTACTACTAGTAGCCAGAAGTTACTAGTAACAAAGGGCATTACTACTAGTAGCAAGAAGCTACTACTAGTAGCAAAGGGCATTACTACTAGTAGCAAGAAGTTACTAGTAGCAAAGGGCATTACTACTAGTAGGAAGAAACTACGAGTAGCGAAGTGCATTACTACTAGTAGCAAGAAGCTACTAGTAGCGAAGGGCATTACTACTAGTAGCAAGAAGTTATTAATAACAAAGGGCATTACTGATAGTAGCAAGAAGCTACTAGTTACAAAGGGCATTACTCCTAGTAGCAAGAAGCTACTAGTAGCAAAGGGCATTAGTACTAGTAGCAAGAAGTTACTAGTAGCAAAGGGCATTACTACTAGAAGCACAGGGCATCACTACTACTAGTAGCAAGAAGTTACAAGTAACAAAGAGCATTACTACTAGTAGCAAAAAGCTTCTAGTAGCAAAGGGCATTGCTACTAGTAGCAAGAAGTTACTAGTAACAAAGGGCATTACTACTAGTAGCAAGAAGCTACTCGTAGCCAAGGGCATTGCTACTAGTAGCAGGGGCATTACTACTAGTAGCAAGAGGTTACTAGCAACAAAGGGCATTACAATTATATAATATAGTTAAGTTTCTTTTGAAGAGAAAGTTCGGAGTTGCACAAAATTTTGTGGCACTCATTCGTGCCTGCAAATAAGGAAAGTTGACGCTTCTCATTGCAACCGCAGCACCATCCAACACAGCCAGATTTGACTTCATCAATTAACTTGTTCACAAGCATGTTTGCGTCGCTTGCATTGGAAGCAACGTAGGACAATATAGAACTGTGGAACTAAGTACGGTAATTTCACTGTCAGCATGGCCACAACTCAGGTTCTATTCTACTGGACTTCCTATAGCATATCTTCTGATGTTTTCTGAAACTTGTGCCCAGGACGTTACCTGTAATTGACTATACGCGTGTACTTGCTGGCTTTACTAGCCACCAGGTGGCTCTAGTCTCGGTGGAGGTGTGAATGTGGAAAACCCGCTTTGCCCTTCGTTCTTCTTCCAAAGCACTCACTCAGGTCTGCTCTAGTGGGCTTGCCTGCCACGGCCATAATCACCGCAGCCAGAAGGTCCCCGGCAGTTTGGCAAATGCCTGACATGGGTAGTAGCTTGCTCTAACAATCACGGTGGGATAACATGTGGCACAGTGACAGTGGCTAGGAATTCTCATCAACTGCGTAGCAACTGAGTCCCTGCCTGCCCAAGTGGCTGACTCCCACCCATGCTGTTCCTGGCATAAGGGTGGAGTCAAAACGAAAGACGTTCTTGGTGACCCATGTGGCGACCTATGGGTAAGTGACGAATGTACCTATGGGCCTATGGGTATGTGACCTTGGGTTTTGCTCGAGCCAACTTCAAAATTGGAGCAAATTAGACTATCACGGCATAATCACAGTACTGGGGTGGTACCTCGTCATGCAATTGAATGAACCAAGATGAACCAAGTATTTATGGGCCAACAACCCACGGTGCGCGTATTAGACACCTAGATATCAAGATGCAAATTGCCAGAAGCTTTGGCATGCTCTTGCAGCTGCTTTTGGCAATGTGTACCAGTGGGGGAGGAAGAGTTACAGTAAGCCCGAAGAAAGGATTTGTTTCGCTGTTCCTGTGAGGCTGCTCTGCTTGTGCGATCCACGCATTGGTTGCGACTCGGATAAGGGAAAACAAAAAAAAATACACACTTCACAGGTCTGGCCCTCAAAGCCCATTGCCTTGAAGAAAATTGCAAAAGTGCTCCACCTCGCATTGCATTAGACCCCACATCTGCTCACAGCAAGTGGAAATCCGACAAGTGGCAAACCCTAGAAACAGGCGGACATCAGGCGATGCTCCAATCACACAACCGTAAGTTAAACATCAGCAAAAGCTTCCCACTCAAGATAAATGTGACAAGTCACTCAACACCATAAGATGCATTGTTATTGAAGCTCGATAGCATGATGACAAATGCCGGAAGATACCTCAGAATCGTCCGAAAAAAGTGACTTTGGCTGTCGAAGGGTTTGTCCAATATTCTTGTGACCTACATGTGGGGCATCCGTTCACGCACGGCTCAAGAGCCCCATGTCAATCAGCAAATCAAGGAGCATGTGGTGCTGAGGCTGTCACCAAGCTGCGTGTATTGTATATTTGAAGGTATACTGTAACATTCTAACATCCAATATCCACGCGGGGTCACAAATTTCACGTGTCTCTGTGTGGAAAAAGAACATCTCGAGAACTGTCCCGAGACTTCAAATCGGTCGGGAAAACCATGCCAAACCTCGCTAGCTCTTTTGAGCCCGGCATCAACCTTGATAAAGGTTGGACAAATGTTTCAAGATGTTTGAAGCAAAGATGCAAATCTCTTGGAAGCTTGCCGCCTTGGCAGGATGGAGGTTTTTCCGAACAAAACAAATGCCTGAGAATCCCTTGCCGGCAGGCAACAACAGGAGGGTTTAGGGTTTAGGAGCCTTGGCATCCCCTCTTAAACCTTTTGAACCACAAACCGGAAAACGACATTGGTTCAAAAGTAGGTTCTCACAGTGGTGTGGTGGGCAAAGTAATGGTGACATCTTCTGTATTAGAACTCCAACGGGCCTTTGAATATGGACCGGGCAGTGGATCAGCGACAGGCACTTGGTTCAGAATTCCTCTTAAAGTTGCTTAATTATATATACTGTTTCGTGAAAAGAACCCTGGAAATGGACACCGGTCATTACAGTAATCAGGTTCCCTGCTTCCGTTCAGGTACATAATATGTAATTATACCCCAAGCGCACCAAACGCCAGAGTTTGTTACCTTGTCCTGAAAACTTGAGTTTTTCAGGTCCACACATGTGTCACTGTCACTGTCACCCACTTCCATGGCCACGGCACCATTCTTCTGTTCAGCAACCTCAGACGTCAGAATCGTTGATTTGATGGTCTAGCCCCAGGAAGCCTTCCTACATTAAGTTCAAATTACCAACCGCTCTTACTTCGAAAACCTTTTGCAGAAACTGGCGGGGCCCATCAACGGCAGCGCGAAAGAGTGCAAGTGAAACACACTCCAGAAGAAAAATTGAAGGTACAACTAACTACGAAATCAGTTTGCAAACTGCAACGCAAACAGCTTTAACATATGTACTGTCATATTGAAACATGCTTTCACACCGAGATTCACCGAGATACGTGACAACCCATCATATATTTTCATAGTCGTAATTGCACATATTTATGAACATGATTAAGGTTATATAAAGGTATGAATATAACATATATCCGCCGACCCCTGCCTAGCTGACGCCTAGGCGGGGCGGCGCCTGGGACACCGCAGGGTGAAACGGTGGCTCAACTTGCTTTCGGCCAGTTGCAGCAGGACTTGTCTGTGGCCATCACCTCGGCTGCTGCTGCACGGCTCCAAAAGCGATGTTAGACAGTTGCTGCCGTCGGGCATCCTTTCCGTCCGCTGTTGCGCGCAAAAATAGATGGTGTCGTTTGCCCGCCCTGAAACCCTGCGCTGCGACACCAGCCCGCCGTTTTGGGCAGTCTACAGGGCAGCAGGCCGCTCTGTGGCCATCACCTACCTGGGCTGCTGCACCGGCCTAGCCGCGCTGCTGCTACGGGCTGCTACTACCTTGTCCGGGAGTGGCCATGCTGCTGTCTGGCGGCGATCACCTGGGCTGCTACGTAGCAGGACAGGTCTGTGGCCATCACCCGGGCTGCTACTACGCGGCCCCGCGCCTCTTTTTCTATCAGAAAGGGACGCTATGCGGGTGTGTGTTTCACGCCGGTAATAAAAACACATGTCTTTCAACTATACCTTTCATGGAGCGATTACTTCAGTAACCCCCTGCTGACATGTAAGATGAACTGAATAAATGTTTTTTTCATAGAAAACACGTTTTATATTTTAATGTTCTATGCGGATGTCAGTTTTCTGCAGGTAATAAACAAACATATGACATATGTTTCTAATATGTGTTTCGAATTGCTTTTCTCCGGTCCGTTACCTAGACTCATGGTTTGTAGACAGAGTTGATCTTGTAGAGGGGGGGTGCAAAAATATGGTTGTCCAAATTTGAGACCACCTTTTTTGGGGTCCCCGAATCCCGGACTGATATAAGAGAGAAAGAGATAGAGACAGACCGAGAGAGAGAGAGAGAGAGGAGAATAAATTTTATATGATTGCCGAGCCAAGTGAGTTTTTGCATCGGAAAAGTCATGGAGAAAAGTAGTATCTGAAGCCAATTGATAAAGTAGTTAATTGATACGCTTGGAGAGAACAAACCTTGTGCATTGGAAGAGTCATGGGTTCCCCTGCTTGTTGGTATTGCAAAGGGCCAAAGGTGTTGGAAAGCACAGGTTTTGTAGGAATGGCCAGGTGGTCATCTAGATCTGTCACGTAATGTCACTGTACTGCACTTGCTTCCTTGCACGCTTGAAAGGTCAAAGGTCCTGCAGCCTCACCAATCACCTGCGTCTCCCAACCCAGGAAGCCGTATGAACCTACTGCCACCACCATCATCACCCTTCCCAAGCTTCTGCAAGCCAGAGTGTCCCCAGGTTTGCCCACCAAACAAATCAAAGTTGCAACCTCAAGCCTCTCCTTCTTCACATCATGCTGCCCTTCCTGCAGAACCTGCAAGGATGCAACTTCATTGAAGATGCTCTCATGGGAGGTGCTGGGCCAGATGAAAGTGGGAGACGGTTTTGAACTGCATGAGGTTCTGGAACTCCTTGCTCATGGTGTGGCTGTTTGGGTTTGTGAAGGCAACAACTTTCTGCGCTTTGGATTTGTCAGCTGAAGACTGGGCTTTCTCATTGTTGCTAACAGTGATGTTGGGGGTCTAGATTCTGGATTCCAGACAGAGGCCAAGACACTGTGGTACTTGTGTGCCCTGCTAGTCTGGTTACGGCGTGCCTCTCTCATGTCTTTTGCCTTTTGGTGAGAGTTTTCTATGATCACTGCGTTGCCAGGATGTTGGCAAGCTGTCTTTGCCAGTGTTGCAGCTACTCTGTTGGTGCCTTGTTTGCGCTGGAGGAAGTCTAGCCCATTGGTCAAGTAGAACAGCCCTTGGACAGATGCCCTAGCAAAATAGAAAAGCTCTATGGGCCTTACCTCCATGTCATGTGCCATCACTCTTTCTGCTTCCAAAATAGTTTCCCAGTCTGCTTGCATCTGCCTGCTTGTTGTGTCAGCTTTGTCCCCCCTGCAAAGGCATGCATATCTCATTGGCCTCAAAAAGGTGCCTGTCAAAGAGATTGCTCTCGTATTCAAGAGTTTGATCAGCAGTGCATGGTGGATTGCCAAGTTCTCTGCAGCGCCCACTTCAGTGCCACCATAAACTTTTTCATGGTGGGGGCATCAAAGAAACCATGGACAACTAGGTCTTGCAACTGGACCTGCCAATCACCAGAAGCCATCCCCATGACCAACTCCTGAAATTCCCTTGGTGACCTGACATGTTGGGATATGAAGCTGTTTGCAGTCCAAAGAGGTCTCACCATCTCTGCAACCAAGTCCTTCTGATAGCTGCTTTTGGGGGGTCACAAGACCATAACTTGATTTTCAATTGTTTCAGCCCTTCTTGGGGTGAAAGGTTTGGTGGTAGCTGAATATCATCAGTGGAAGTGGACGTGGCAGCAGTACCTGTGGAGTTCATTGCAAACTTGGACAGCCAATTCTCTCCTTCATAGAATTCGCAGCTCTCCCACCAGCTGAACGAACGCATGAGCTTCACAAAGGGTCCTAGAACTTGTAGACTTTTAGTTTTCTTGATCCCACTGCAAAGCTTGACAATGCCATCCAATGTTTGTGGCTCATCTTGCCCAAGCTCATGTGCGAAGTATGGAAGAAGTGTCATGAAAACATGTCAATGCTCACGCCTATGGCCTTGAGCGAGTGACATAGTGCCCTTAGCTCATTCTACCCTGGTAATTCTTCTTTTTGTTGCCAATGCCTTGGAATGTTGGTCAACCTCTGGTTATGAAAATCATGTTTTAATAACATAAAATTGATATTTGGTGCTCAAATTATGAATCTTTAAAAGATGAAAGTCATACACCGCTTACTAAAACCACCGAAAAAACACACCCCCGCATAGCGTCCCACACTCTTTTCCATAGGGTTCCAAAAGCGACGTTAGACAGTGGCTGCTGCCGTCGGGCACCCTTTCCGACCGCTGTTGCGC